GTTTTCCAAAACGGAAAAAATGAGACATGTTTCTCTTCTCCTTAATGATTTGGAGAAGTGACTTTTACTAGTTTTCCAAATTTGGAAAACGCAAATGCTACAGTGCCGCTGCAATGAATTTGCATACTTACACCTAGTGGTGGGTCCGGTCCCGCTCCGATGTCGATTCCATTCTGGTACCTCCATCCTCGTACCTTACCCCTTACCCCTACCCTACCCTACCCACCCAACCCCACCCCGCATACCCATTTTTCCCTATAATGACCCTACCCCGTCCCCTACCACATGCCCCTACCTCGCCCCACCCCGATCCACCCTACCCTACTGCCACCCCTACCACCTCGACCCCACTCCGACCCATCCTACCCTGCCCCCACCTGTATATTACCCCTTACCCCTTACCACATGCCCCTACCTCGGCCCCACCCCACCGCCATCCTACCCCCACCCTCGTACCACCATCTTACCCCCACCCTTCCGCCATCCTACCCCCCACCCTACTCTTCCCCTATCTCGAGGCCCACCCAGATCCCGGGCCCACCCTACTGCCATCCTATTCCACTACCCCTACCTTACTCCAACCCTACCCACTACCCCCCACCCTTACCGCCATTCTACCCCCTACCCCTTCCCTGCCTCGACCCCACCCTGGTCCCGGCCCCACCCTACCGCCATCCTATCTCAACTCCATACCCTACCTTTACCTTACCCCAAACCCTACCCACTACCCCACCCTTACCCCTAACCCCCTGCCCCCACCAACCCCCTACCCCTACACCTTACCACCCCACCCCGACCATACCCCTTACCCCACCCCCACCCATAACTTCCCTACCCCGACCCCTATGAGTAGGTATGGGTGGGTATGAAGGGTTGTGGGGGAGTATGGGTAGAGTGTAAGATCGTGGTAACAGTAGGGGTCAAGGGTGTGGAATTGGTGAACTGGGTGAAAAAATTGATGAACATATTTTCAGATTTGAAAATGGAAAACTAAAAAATAGAAACAGAAAATTGGAGATAGAAAAACTGAAAAATAAAAACAGAAAATTGGAGAACGAAAAACAGAAGTAGAAAACAGGAAAATATCTCTGTTAGTAAACATGCCCTAAGATTTTTAACTAAGTTTTTAATGAAGTTCAAATTAGACACTAAGATTTAAATAGACCAAATAAACACAAATTTCAACCTTTAGGTTCTTTTTTTTAACAGAGAGCAATTAATTGGCATTAATCAAATCAAGTTTAGTACATCAACAATACTGTTAGGAGGCAAAATCAACCAAACACGGCTATCAGACACATTAACCTTTAGGTTCTTTTAGGCCACCCTTTTGACGGCTCTGTTAGTTCCTTCCCTGTTATCAAGTCTCTCCTTCTTCCTTTTGATTACGAACTCCCGGTATATGCTATCCCAATACCAAACAACCCTTATTGAAGTGTGCCGACATAGGAAAAGGTAACAATAGTACTCCGTGATAATGCTTGGCCATCGATCTCATCTTAGGTACACATAAATCAGAGAGGGTCTAGAGCCCCAACTTCCAGTCTTCCTATTTTCAAAGAAATTCCTAAAGAATGACGGAAAGCAGATGAAGTATAGTCTATTACAGCTCTAAGATTAAAAGAAACAGCTCTAAGATTTCTTTTTAAGCTCACAAGTTTATCTCTCGTACATCTAAATCGACAATTTCTCTATGTGAACCGGTCATTTTCTTTTAAAAATACGAAGTATAATATGTCCCCTGCTGCCCACAATTATTTGATTTAGAGCTAAATAAATAGCTGCACTTGTATCATGATACGGGAGATGGTGGTTGCTTATGCACACAACACACCTATGGAAGCTTTAGTAAGCTATATTATATGTCCCCTGCTGCCCATAATTATTAGATTTAGGATGTTAGGTTTATAATTCTGAATTTCTCTTCAATGGGGGTGGCGAGAGCACATGAAGCATGGACGGTTCAAAATACGAAATTGAAATTTATTTCCAAAATCACTTGGTATAGAAATTTTTTCCTGCCTAAATTAAAATGAATATTGTCATTTAGTTTTTGCAGTGCAAGCATAACTACACAACTTCTATGGTAGTAGTATGGTCCCTCTATAGCCAAGGCTGGAAAGGGCTGTGTTGTTTAATCTTTTCGTTCTCTACCCGTAGGAACTTAGTTTTCATACATTGAGGGGTTGTGTTGTTTAATCAGATGGAAAGGGTGTGGGTGTTAACGAGCTTTAACGACTGGAAGGGTCTTTTAACGGAGTTGTTAAAGAGTGGCTCAAAACTCAAAAGGAACCAAAAGGTTAAAATTTGTGTTTATTTGATCCACTTTGAATCTTAGTGTCTAATTCGAACTCCGTTAAAAACCTTAGTTTCATTTTTTACCCTTTTCCCTATATATTAAACTAAAAATTGTGTGATTGAGACTTTAATATAAAAGAAAGAATTAATAAGAATAACAAATTCTTTAACTAATAAGAGAAGGTGACCAAGCTAATGGAATAACTAAGAAAAGCTTAGGGAAAGATTCATGCTTTTATTTGATCCGAGCCACTGATACTTTAATGGCTTATCTAAGATTTCTTAACTACTTATCTAATTTAGCCGTTAAAAATGGATCCAATTTATTCATCACATCTGCATGAAAAATATTAACGTAAAAATTATATGATTGAAAGTTGCAAAGAAGAGAATGGATTAATTAGAATAACAAATTCTTTTAACAAATAAGAAAGGCTAAAGGATCAAACCGGTCCTTGAACTAACTTAAAGTGTTCAATTAGCCCTTTATATAGGAGGTTCAGCCCGGCCATCGTCAATTGGGGAGGTTCCCGGTGGAATTTTTTGATAATTTTTTTTGAGCATTTTCTTCATTAAGTTTATATCAAATTTTAGCTAAAAAGTAAATCGGGAAGACAGTCAATTGATTTTACGACATGCAGGGCCGGTCCTAAGAAAACATGGGCCTTGTGCAAAAACAAAATGTGGGCCTTTTTTTAAAATAGGTAGAAATATAATTATGAATATAATGAATATTTCATAAATATCTAATACTTAATTTATTTAATAATGACATGCAATACAAAAAATTATTATGATTACAAAATAATATCAACAATTGTAGTTGATGGTATTGGGTTTAAAATCTTATGGGTTATATCAATAATTGTATGATATAGAAATACATATTGATCAAGTAGTTGAGGTGGCTTGCAGTTCGCATGCGTGAGAAGGAATTCAGGGTTCGAATCCCCTTGGCTATATAAGGCTTTTTAATGAAGGAGTGGGTTCACTACTGGGCTTTAATTAGTTTTTAATAATAGGTGGATTATTTAAACTTTGGGCCTTCATAATTTACGGGCCCTATGCGGTTGGGCTGCTGGCACTTGGCCTGGGCCGGCCCTGACGACATGTACTGCGCTAGTTAACTGCGCAGTTATCTTCAAAAATTATTTGACTGCCTTCCCGGTTGAATTTTTAGCTGAAATTTGGTATGAGTAAACTAGACTTAATGAAGAAGCAGTTCAAAAAATTTCATTAAAAAATTCCACCAGGAACCGCCCCAATTGGTGACAGCCGGGCAGAACCTCCTATAAAAGGGACTAATTGAACACTTTAAGTTAGTTCAAGGGTCTATTTGACCCTTTATCCAATAAGAAAAAGTAACGAAGTTAATGGAATAACTAAGAAAAGCTTGGGGAAGGATTCATGCTTTTATTTGATCCACTAATACTTTAATGGCTTATCTAAGATTTCTTAACTGCTTATCTAATTCAGCCGTTCTCCCAATGATTATGACATACCCTATTCTAATCATAGACTCGATATCCTTCAAATGATATGCTACAAAACACTGAAAGAAGAAAAATATCGTTCATAAAACAAGTTTGGTTACAATTTTTCTAACTTCAAATTAAAACATGGCTTATTTCAAATGTTGCCAAACTAAAATAGAGTAGATGGGTTCACATTTTGTCACATTTAAGTAGACTTCCAAAAATTCAAAACAAAATAGATCCCATACATATTTCATTGGACTGCATAAGACTTGGAGAATAATAGATTCCGTTCATATGATAGCAGATTAGATACATTCAGACTACATTGACCAAGACTAATAAGATCAAACCATATATAGTTAATTTAACTATACTAGATTCATATAATAATATTCAAATACTATTAGACTTATACAAAATTTAAATAAATCAAATTTAGATTAAATTACAAAATAGCAATTCAATTAAGTTTAATTTAAGTTTGGGAAAATGGAAACTAATAATCCAACCTTTTAGCGGTCTTCTTACAATAATCCAACCTTTTGGTTATTCATGAATAATCCAACCTTTGCACCTCATCTTCATTTACTGGTCCCTGACCGGTTGATGACCTGCTATTTCAAGCTACTTTCTTATCTTTGCAAATCATTATACCATAAATCTCATCTTTCACAAAGATAATATTTTGCAAAGATAAGAAAATAACTTGGAATAGTAGGTCATTAACCGACCAGGGACCAATGAACGAAGATGAGGTGCAAAGGTTGGATTATTCATGAATAATCAAAAAGTGAAATTATTGAAAGAAGACCGCTAAAAGGTTGGATTATTAGTTTCCATTTTCCCTTTAAGTTTAAGTATTGACGTTGTTTTTCAGCTTATCAGGCTTATCAGTCAGCTTTTTCATCAAACACGTAACTTTTGCTTTCGCGCGCTGAATTGTATAATAAGCAGAAAAAGTAAGGTTGAAGTTACTTTTCTGGCTGTATTGACTGAAGTTACCGTAGATGACCATTTTAGTTATTTTTACATATAATTTTTTCTTTATTTTATTAATAAAATATATTTTAAAAATAATTTTTTCTAAAATCAGCAGAATCAGCCACTTCAACCAGAACTTCAAAAATTTCAGCAGAAACAGCCAAAACAACCTATTTTCGTGCTAACAACCTATTTTGATGAAAAACACACTTTTTTTTGCTTCACATTACTTTCCATCCTATTTCTGAGAATTTCAATTTCTCTATAGAAAAGCAATCTTGGAATAACACAAGAGTCCCAAACGTTTTTTTTTTCTGTCCAAAAAACAGCTGAAATTGAAGGCGCCCCAATAAGCTCAAACTCTTCTGCTGAGATTGGAAACGTTGGGGAAATTCAGAGCCTTGTGAGCGCCGCTCTGAGGGGCACAGTAGACGCCGGAGACTCGGTCGGGCCGGCGGAGGACGAGGATGAAGTAATAGAGCTGGAGTTCTTCGACAGCAGAGCAGTAGACAAGCTGCACGCCACGCATGACGCGTATTGCCCAAACTGCAGAAGCCCCATTTCCAAGGTTGTTCTGAGGATCAAGCGGGAAAGAAGGAGGGTTGATCCGCCCCCTAATCCGGAGAAAAAGCTCGATTTGCTCGGTTGTCTGTCATGCTTTCGAGTTTTCCTCCCTTCGAGAACAGAAGCAGATGAAAGCAATGGGAACCCTGGAGAGAAACAGGAACCAAACAGTGCATTGCCTGATGGTATGTATATACATATTAATATTGTGTGTGTTAATTTATAAATACCACCTCCCTTCATGCTTTGATTTTTAAGGTCTCAATGTTTACTATTTAAGAGACTACTACATTCATCCCATCAGATCTAGCCAAGTTTAACTGGTAATGGAGATAAGGAAGATGAATTGTGTAACTGACTTTTCTTGAGACGAGATATAAATGATGTTAAACACAAATTTGTCACTTTTAGAAAGTGGCAAAAGTAGTAAGATATCCGAAGTAGGACAAACAGGATTGAATCCATAATTCTGAGCTAGGCTGGGATAGAAGTAATTATACAAGGTTTAGAATAACGGGAAGAAATGAAGAATAGAAAAATTGCACTAGAAAATTTAAGAAAAATATGATTGCACTAGACATTAGCCCAGAGGAGTACTGGAGTAGTAGTGTAAATCCGTGCCTGTGACAAAGAGAGTAAAATGAAAGTCTCAAAAAATTTATTATTTCAACTATAATTGTTCCATTTGTTTACGTTCAATTGCTTGAGTGGGGTTCATAGGGTCTATGAGTGAAGTTGTAGTTGTAGTAAATAGTGTAGAAAACATGAGTCAGAACTCAGAAGGTCAATATGTTGAAAAAGGTTGAATAAAAAGATGCTAAAATAAGGTATTTATGTGTTAAAGATGAAAAAGTATGACAAGTTATCAAAATGGAATGTTTCAATGTTCAAAAGCGAGGCAAGTAAAAATGAATAGATGGAATATTACTAAATATTGTTCAGAAGTGTTTTCATTTTATAATTTAGCAGTGTACTATTTAAGCATAATTAAGTACTCCCTGTGTCCCATTCTAAGGTTCCTTCTTCCCTTTATGGACGTCCCATATAAAGGTTCTCATTTCTATTTTTGGAAACAATTAACACTCTTGAATGACAACTTCATCATCAAATATTAAAAGTAATATATTTATAACATCACACTTATCATCAATGACTTCGTTATATATTCATCAACATTATTTAACAAAATATACTCAAATTACCTTTCTTAATTATCGTCTAAATAAACGTGTCATTTTGCAATGAGAATCTTTCACTGGGACGGAGGTAGTATTAAGGTTCACAAACATTTATTCAAAAATCAAAGCAAGAATTTTAAAGAGGCGGATGGAGTAGGTTCCTATTCATTTGATTTTTCATTTGATCATCACAAGTAGTTAACATATACATTTATGTAAATTAAGCAGGAAAGTGCTTTGACCTGCACTGGATTTTTGGGCAGAGATCAAGAACATCAAATCCACAGACATCTGTCACATCTCAACCGCAACCATCTCATTCTGACCAAGGTAGTTAGTAGTTATTCTTACTTTCTTGTTTGCCTCTACTTCTGTTCACACGCTACTTGGTGTTTAAGAGTTTGTTCCATATTGAAATAACATAACGTCATATCGGTTAAGTTTGAATTAACAAACCTACACTTTACACTATATCTCATACTTTAATGAGAGTATTAACCTATTTCTTATTATTTTTGTAGTTTTCTGTCAATTATTAGAAAGTTCTTTTAGATCCATTGGACTTTTTAGCTATTGTTTTTTAAACATGATTCTTTTTCTTGGTTTTGGAATGGAAGGTCTTCTTCATTCATTTGTGGTTCTTATCGTCATCCATAGCTATTCTTTTTTGCATATATATTGCGTCTTTTATCATTCTTGAAATTCGATCTTCTTCAGGGAAGAAGAAGCCAGGCGATGCACATATACAAGGTAGTAGTGCTGCTAATACTTCATCACATCCCCATGATTCAAATGGAACTCAGAATGCTCCTACTCCTTCACGAAAGGAAATCGAGACTCCATCGGTGAAAGAAATGAATGGGGATGCAGCTAAACAGAAACTCAAGCACAATTGGAAGGACTATGCAAAAACGACGGGGAGTTCTGCAGAAAGAAATTTTGTCGTGGGAGAAGGGCATTCAGGTAATGAAATCTGGCTGAGTTTCTGTTCACATGCTGCTTGGTATTGAAGAGTTTGTTCCATATTGAAATAACATAACATCATATCAGTTAAGTTTGAATTAAAAAACCTACACTTGACATTATTTCCATTATTTTAATGAGAGTTATCACATCACATCAGGAGGCAAAAACTTACCCTCCATATCTGCAAAGGGCCATCCAATTCCACAACAAATACAACCGATCACTTGGAACAACTGTAGGGGTGCCAAATTTTACTTGTTAAACTTTCTCAATGTGTTTCTATTTGTATTTTCTTGTTGAACTCTGTTTTGTAATTTCATATTTTTAATAAACTTGGAAAGTGTTCCCCGGCGCTTTCCCCACCTCCAGTGGCTTCTCCGGGATAAAAAAAATGAGAGTATTAACCTATCCCTTATTCTTTTTGTAGTTTTCTGTAAATTATTTGAAAGTTAGTTCTTTTAGATCCATTGGACTTTTTAGCTAGTTTCTTTTGAAACATTTGTTTTTTGGAACACAAGGTCTCCTTCATTCATTTGTGCTTCTTATCATCATCCATAGCTATTCTTTTTTGCATATATAATGCGTCTTTCTTGAATAGGGACATGTTACCTTAGATCATTCTTCAAATTCGATCTTTTTCAGGGAAGAAGAAACCAGGCGATGCACATATACAGGGTAGCGGTGCTGCTAATACTTCATCAGCTCCCCATGATTCAAATGGAAGTCAGGATGCTCCTACTCCTTCACAAAAGGAATTCGAGACCCCATCACCAGAAATGAATGGGGATGCAGCTAAACAGAAACTCAAGCATGATCGGCAGTATTACGCAAAAGCGGAGGGGAGTTCTGCCGAAAGAAATTTCGTCGTGGGAGAAGGGCATTCAGGTAATGAAATCTGACTGAGACTTTAAGAGCCCATTTGGAAAGGGTTACTTTGTTCGAATGACTACATTTTTATAAAGGAAAAATATTCGGAAATATTAAATTAAGCCAAATAATGCAAATGCTACTTATTCGGTTGATAAAAAATTAAAAAGAATAAGCTAATTAGTTCTACCAAGCGCGGATTAAGTCTGGTTGATCTTTGTTAACCTCGTGTTTTTCATATATTCTACTGCAAAACTAAATGAGATGGGGAGTGGGACTTGTATCATGCTCACTGGAATTTATGCAGGTGCATGGATGGAAGATTCAAAGAAACAAGAACCCGAAATTAGAGACGAGAAGAACGGAAGCTTTACAAATATTAAAGGTGAGAGAGTGTGAGACATGTGACCCATTGTTTTATATGCGAGTTTGTAACTTTATATTACACCTGTATGAGATTGCAAGATTGTTTAACAAGTCATCATAACTCTTAAGTACTATTCAAGTTACAAATGAATTTATGATAGAGCTATTAGCAGAAGTGTGGAAAAATCGGTCTGATCTTGATGGAATTGAACTGCATTGCAGGACGAGACTTGCAAATTCAAATTGATGAAAGCACAAACGAGGCAAGAACTTCAACCTGCATGCAAGATCCTATACAAGTGACCGGAAAAAGTGGTTCACAATCAATAGAGGTGGTCAAGAGCATAGTGTATGGAGGCCTAGCTGAGTCAATCACAAGCTTAAGTCTGGTTTCTTCAGCTGCTGCCTCTGGTGCCACCACACGTAAATCCTTTACACCCTCTCATCCCAAAACTAAATGGATCCTTTTATGCCAACAGTATAATCTTTTCTTAAAAATCTGTTGATTATTTTGCAGTGAATGTTTTGACTATTGGAGTGGCAAATCTCATAGGCGGTCTTGTAATCATGGCACACAATGTATGCAAATATAATACCTATCCTTATCTGCAAATCGCGCCTTAGTTACTTATTGCTCCTACGTATTAAGTCAAATATATGCCCTTGATCCAGGCCCCGGGTCCATCCCAAGTTCAATAAAAACTTCTCAATGTGTAAAGTTTTTGTGTAAAAAATTATATGAATGAGTTCCTTTTCCGGTCTACCCAAAGTCCATAATCCATTATGGACTTGTTATGATGTAACTCAAGTCTCAATGAGCAACTCAAATAACAAGTCTTGACAAGGAGCACATGTATTTCAAGAATAGTACGGAGTATGACCTAACCACACACCGTCTTGTGGTGTCTTACGTTGTTCACATCAGTTGAGTAGTTCATTACTCTAACGAAAAACCCAGTCCAACTAAGACTACAAGTTTACACACATATTTCAAGTGCCAATCTGGTACGCTAGCCAGAAAAAGAAATTCCAATTTCACGAATCTTTTTTAATCCCAAAAAAGAGTACAATTATCAAGTAAAATTTTATATTTTTGTAAAATTCATCTAAACCCAAGCCATTTTAGCTGATATACTGAATAATTATGGAAACAAGTTTTAGGCCTGAATGGTCGATCATTAATCATTTCTAAGAGCTTTTTTTTATTGATTTTACTAAAGAAAATTATACCATGATGACATGTTTTTTATAGAGGGAGTAATTGATTACGAAATACAATAATCACATAAAATGGACTTGTTTGATTGCAGTTTTTGGACTTGCATAGCAATCGCCCTGCAGAAGAGTACCAAGAAGTATTAGGCCAAAGAAAAGACTTTCCACTTCATCTCATTGTTGCAGTGTTGTCATACCTCACCTTTGGCCTCACCCCACCTGCCATCTATGGATTTGCGTTTCATGAGAGAGACGATAGAGACATGAAGCTTTTAATGGTTGCAGTGGCTTCTTTTGTGTGCATCATTTTTCTGGCCATTGGAAGAGCTTACACCCGCAGAGCAAATACGTTTAAGGATTATTTGCTGACTGTACTGCAATACGTTATTGTTGCAGCTATGGCTTCTGGTGTTGCTTATGCAGTGGGTCATTTGTTTGGGAGGCTGATGGATGAACTCGGATGGTTTGACTCAGCCCCAACCAACCCAAGCAGCGGTCTTCTTCTTTCTAAGGTTCAATCGGAACATCTAAACTGGGATTCATATTGATTCTTGTAATCACGATGGGTCATGCTTCCATCTTCCGGGATTTCGCCTCCAAGTTGTTCCAGTGTTTTCCTTGAGGAAATTTGTTATTAAACTTGGGATTCCATTAATTCAATTATTATATGGATTTGTATTTTTATACTCCTTCCCTATTTATTTTTGTATTCCTTGTGACATAAATGAAGCCTTGTTTCATCATTTGTTGAAAAAAAATCTTATCTGTTTTCTCTATTCCTCTTAAGAAATACGGAGGAATAACTTTCTAGCATCAAAGGCTTTAGGCGCAGCTAGGGTCTGCGAGATTTGGGGTTCGCGAATTTCCTTCGCTTGACGTTTGCTAGTTTTTTGGCCCGTCTCAGTGCAAGACGAGGGGTTGGAGTTTCGTGCTTAGAGGCTTCATCGCAGACCAAGGTCACAGATCGAGAGTTGATCGATTTTCTTCTCGACCTGTGATCAGGGGGGTTTGGTGATGTACCTAGTAGATCTATCTGGAAGTGCACTCCCGCTGCAGAGGTGCCGCCTGGAATTGTGATTGCAGAGGTTTGACTGGTGTTTTGCGATTTCGCTTGTGGCCAGATGTTGAGGTTTGATTATCCGTTGTTTGTTTTGGCAATTTTGGTTCTATTGGTGTCTGAGATGGAAGTGGTACCGGCGGTCTTTGATCCCGGAGGAACACGGGCGATTGGGCCCCGGTGAAAGGGGCGACTCAATGGGTGGCAATCTACGGTTGTTTGACGGCCGTAAAGGGCAGAGATCACCTAACCATGGGTAGACTAATGAAGTGGAATGGGGAACTCCTGATACAAGTGTAAAAGAAAGAGCAAGAAGTAGTTTTAATTTCTCCCCTCCTGAACCACCACCACAGAAGAATTGTGGGTTTAGGGGTTGGAAGAAGATGCTTGAAGGATGGAGTCAACTGGTCCAGCACTCAAAGTTTATTTACTTGCGCTATTTTCTGATTTCTATTTCTTATTTTGTTGTTATTTGGTTTAAACACTAATGGCGGTAGGTGCATTTTTTGGTTTATCCTAGTTACTAGGTTCTTGGTTGGATGCAATCAGGCTGACTCGGCTGCTAATAGCCTCGAACCTCTCACATGTTCAACGATTAGTCTCGCTCCTTTTGGGGTGGACTATTCTATGTCTAATCAAGGTTGAGAGGGCCGATGGGCTTATGGTTAATGTTGGTTAGGAGGAGATTAAGGCTTTTTGGTTGTTGCTCAATTCTATTGTTTTCTCGGTTACACCGAGAGTATTGATTAATATAATATGTCAGCCCTTTCAAAAAAAAACTTTCTAGCATCAAAGCAATGCACTCTACAACAATATTACTCTCACTAGAAAAAAACGTCCTAAAAAGTCAAAGAAAAGACCACATTTCTTTTACTTCATGAAGGTTCCAGTTAGGAACTCCTTTTACAAAACAATACATGAACAAAATAAAATTAGTAAAAAGTGTAATGTGGCTGCCACCATTTTTTTATGAAGGAAGTAAGGTAGGTATAGGAAATTTACTTTCGGGATCATCGTGGCCACTTTCAGATAGCTAGAACGGAGTGGTGTAGTGCACCCCCATTGCCGGCAAAAGCTGGAACTCGGGGACCAAGACAAGTTATGCATGCACTGTATAATAAGCTTAGGTCAAGAAAAAGTTGATTTTGAAATGGATTTGAAACCAGTGGTAGATCATGTGATATTAAATTAATAAAAATGAACACAAAAGAGTATATATATCTCTTTTAGGTTATTTTTGAACCCTTAAAGACAGTCACAACAATTTGAACATTGTGTTCACTAGGCGGTGAGCACGCGTTAGCTAGAGAGTATCTATCGACTTTGCTTCTTACGTCATTTTTCAACATATTTCTCTCATTTTATTCTAAACATTATTAATAAAGAAATGAACCGAGTTACGTATTTGCATAAACAAAATCTAGTATATATACAGTTTAATGCATCAAATCCCTTTGTGATTATAAATCGGTGCATTAGTCCTATGATTTTCAAAATGCGTCAAAACCTGATGTGTTATTATTCATCACAAAACCCCTTATGTGAATAAATTTATTTTCCAAATAAATGGAAAATAATTATTATTTTTGCATAATAATAATAATTAAGGAATCTTGACCAATCTATTTACATATTCAATCATAATATTAAGATAAACGATTCGTTAAATGCTAAATCTATTCTTCTAAATAATTATAATATAAGGGAGTTTAATACATTTTGTAAATCACAAAGACTAATGCGTCGAATTTCTATATGGCAACGAGTTCGGTGCATAAGATGCTGTTTAGTGTGGATTGCACCAAATCAGTATTGATGATGGGGCACATCCTACAGGCCCATTATCAACTGGGCGCCTTGGTGTATGTGGTCCAGTATCGAAAGGTTTGTTTCAGGGAAAATTGGAGAGAGCTAGGGGTTTGGAGATTTTTGTGGTTTTATCAATCCTTAAGTCAACTGCGAAGATGATTTACGACGTCAACTCCCCGCTTTTCCGGTCCTTCCTTAGCCAAAAGGGGGGCAATTCTGACAAGAGGTATGCTGCACGTTTCTATCCTACAAATTTTTAGAATCTAAACATGTACGTATAATATTTCTTTAGTAAATCCAAACAACAGAATTGCTTGTATTAGAGATTGATTTCATTTCCCGGATCAAATCATAGCCTTAATAATAAAGGATGTGAGATTAATCACCTTTTTATTATTATGTTTCTCGTTATAGGCCACGGTTGCAATTTTATTGACGCAGATGTATGTATAAATGGTATGGAGCATATATTTGCAATGGGTGGGCTGGATAACAGACTTACGGTTACAATGTATGAAAGGAAAGCTATAGTTAAAGCCAAATTGTTGATAAGTGAGAGGTTTTGTGGTTAGGATGTATGAAAGAATGTTATATCAATCAAAGTAGGTTAAAAAGTCAAATTGTTCTCATGTTTTCTAGGTATTTCCAATACCCTGAACATTTTTTGGGTCCCGGAATAAACCACACGAGGTGGGGGAGTGCCGGGAAACACTTCCCAAATTTATTAATAAAATTGAAGATTACAAGAGATAAAATAAAATAAAAACATACAGATAAAGCAAAGAAAGTTTAGCAGATGAAGTTTGCTGTAGGAATTCCAAGAGTAGCTGAGATGTTCTTGTTGTATCTACGAGCACTTCGTCGTAGTACGTCAAAATAAATCGATACTAACACTTTGCGTAATACAGTGGAGTAGAGTTCGTATCCACAGGGAAAGGAATAACTTTCTTTTCAATTAACTAGTAATAAAAAGGGGGGGTTTTGGGATTGTATGATTTAATTAATTAAAGGGAAAAGGTGCAAATAGACCAATGTACTAACCAAAAAAGGTCAAATAAGCCCTTATTTAGGAGGCTCTGTCCGGTCGTCGCCATTTGGGGTGGTTACCGGTGGAATTTTTTGATGAAATTTTTTGAGCATATTACTCATTAAGTCTAGTTTACTCATACCAAATTTCAGCTAAAACTTCAATATGGAAGACATTCAAATGAATTCTTGAAAATAACTGCACAGTTAGAAGCGCAGTTATTTTCAAAAATTCATTTGAATGCCTTCCCGATTGAAGTTTTAGCTGAAATTTGGTATGAGTAAACTAGACTTGATGAATAAGATGCTCAATTAATTTCATCAAAAAATTCCACCGGGAACCACCCCAAATGACGACGGCCGGACAAAGCCTCCTAAACAAGGGCTTATTTGACCTTTTTTTGTTAGTACATGGACCTATTTGCACCTTTTCCCTTAATTAAAACAACAAGTTAAACGACTTATATTAGATTTAATTCAAGAATATAAAGGGCTTGACCTTGCTACTTTTCACTTGTTGATATATTTAATCGATCATTGTTATATCTATAACTTATCCCCTCTCGAATACTCAATCGAGGAGTATCTCCAATTCATCGAAGGTAGTTATTAACAACGACCGTTCATTAACAACCCTTACTATTAATCAAATATAGAACAACGTCGTATACCGATTTAATAGTAGCATTTAATCTTTTTAACTTCTTGATGAAATCAATTGAGATTGATAACCTCAACACAACGGTCTTGGTTTAACCAACAAAATCGATCCCTCTTAAGTTTATTAACCACGACCGTGCATTAATAAACCTAAGTTACTTACTTATGAAACCACCAACGATTAACCATTGGTTCGTTGATCGTTTCTAGTAATAATTAATGTCGAAGCGTTAACTAATCATTACTTAGCAATACTCCAACATTAATATAGAATGAGATTAAGGGAAGAATTAATAGTCAATAGAAGAAGTTAAGAAAATAACTCACAACTTTAATAATCAACAAGCTTCAAAAGCAAAACCAAGAAATGAGAGTTTAGCTCCTCATTTGGAGACTAAACATGCTAGAAAAATATAAGAGATAACTATTCTAAACTGAACATAAAAGTATGGAAGAAAGAATGAAAATTAGTGAAGAAAAAGTGTGCTATTTATAGGTGTTTTTCAACACCTTTGGCCGGGTACCCGACCGGGTATAGTGCCCACCCGACCGGATACCGGTCAAAATCAAACCATTTGCCATGTTCTTGTGTCTCAGCACGCCGGATTGTCCCCGGTCACTTCTCACCCGATCGGGTGAAGTACCTCACCCGACCGGGTCATTGCATTGTCCCTAATGCCCGCCCATATCTCCACAATGGTGTGTATCCCCATCCATGTGATCGACGCCATAGCCGCCATCCCCGCCTCCACCATCGGAGCTCGAACCTCCAAAATAACCCCATGCAGTGGGGGTCATACCAAGAGGGTGCGGGAGGGGGAGCGGCCATAGATGCAAACCCACCCTGGTGTGCCACATAAGAGTACATAGGACCATAGGTCCTCCGTTGGTCTTCCTCATATCTCTGTTGGTCCTCCTCATACGTATGCCAGTCTGCTTGTCTTTGCTCCTTTACCCTCTCGAAGCTTTGTCTCTAGTCAGTACGATACAGTCCAACTTCCTCCCAAAGTTGGGTTTTGTTGTTGTTGAGCATGGCCATACTATGGAGCATTTGTTGCTCGAATGGTGAGTAGGGAAATGCTTGAGCCTGAGGTTGTGGCTGTGGTTGTTCGAGAATGAGTGGGGGTTGTTCAGTGGCGTCATGGTCTTGTATGGGCTCTTCATAATGTGTCGGGATTGCCCCGGGGAGACAATAGTGACGACC